CGATTCCATTTCTAGTAGTTTGTTAACGATGCTGGTATTTGGTTTTGACATACCACAGATTTGTTTGCAGATCGACCACCATTTCTTCGGATCTACGTGTTTGAGATGTTCAATCTTGCTTTTGTAAAATTTCGATTTGATAATTTTTCTTTCGTGGTTGACTTTATTACAATAAAATTTAAAAAGCAAGGTGTACATGTTGTTTTCTTTTAAAGCTTTTTGACGATGGTGGATTAAGTCCTTAAGATATGGGGTCATCCAAGGGGTGTCGTTTTGATGCAATTTAACAAGTTTTGAGGGCATCATTGAATTTAAACCAATCATAAGTGAGTCCTTAAAATAATTTAACTGTTCTTCAATGGTAGGCAAAGAGTTAAGTACGGACCAATCCATATTGCTTAAAAATCTTCCTAAGGCTTCAAATGAGCTCTTGTTCCCTTTGCGCACTGGTATTAATTTCTTTTTATTGGACGAACTTGGTCGTACGATTGGAAACATAGTAACGGTAAAATGGTCTGATAAGCCAAAGGGTGTTTTTTTTTCTCAGGGTTTTGGTAAAATTTAGCTAGATTAGTCAGAATCAAGTCCAAAGTACGTTCACCTCTAGTAGGAAATTTAACCAGTTGTTTCAGACGGAATTGATTTGTAATTTGGTTAATGTTAAGATGGTTAAAATCACCAGCTATTATAATTGCAACATGGGACATAGTGCTTTCTATTTTCGAAAGGATATCAGTTATGTGGTTAATTAATACGTTGTCGTTAGCAGTAGGTGGATGATAAACTGTTGCAACAATAAGATGAGAAAAACCTCTATATCCTCTATGGTGTATTCGGTTAGAATAGTAACAGGCATAACATGGCCTAACATACATGCAAACCACACCATGTTGGGCATGAGTTCTGTCTCTCCTTACGACTGAGTAATGGTCTATAAATATGACGTTGTTATCCACTGTATGTTTTAACCAAGTTTCAGTAAAGCACATTATGGCTGGCTGATGATTATTAACAAACTGACGTACTTCATTTATTTTTGGGGCAAGTGACAACACGTTCGATAATGCTACAGAAGGAACAAAAAAAGGAGCCTTACTATTGATGGAGGCTTGAGTGTTTATGGATTTATTTGGATATACCATCTTGGCCTCAGAGCACTTATGGGTAGGTATTGGAACGTAGAAATATGGCCTACTTCTTGATGGCAGAGTACTTCTAGAAGATATTCTCACTGGGATGTTGATTGAACTGGTAATACCATTCTGCTGCAGGGAGAGAGATTTTTCTCGCTGAGAATTCGAAGTAAAGGGAATCGCGTAATGAGATTCATGAACTGAACGGACAAATCAATAATTAGTTTGTTCTGGGACATCTTTAGCAGATGACTCAATTGTAGAGGAATCATAACTGGGGTTTCTACTGTCTAATAATAGTATTGGAACCAATTCAATTGGTCTTTCCTCGTGGATATTTTTGGTAGGGGTTGAGGCGAATAGCACTGAATCTCCATCAACGGTCTTGGTGTCGATTGGAGATAGGGGGTATGGGAGGTGGAAGGGGTTATAATAGGATGCCTGGGCTGATTTGAACAACAGTGATGTCCATTCAATAAATTCTGCTGGATTACAGGTCGTCGTAGGTGCATCGGAACACTGTTTCTTGTTCTTGAATGAATCAGCTTAAGGTGGTTTTGCCATTCCTCTAGATTTGGGGACTGCCGATGACGTGTGCGATGGTAAGCTGGTTGATTACAAAAAGGAGATTTTTTAGAATTTTTTAGGGATGGTATCATGCGTCTCTTCGGACTTACAGGTCGTATGTTAACAATAGTTTGCGATAAGGGATTGTTAACTTTGTCGCTAGACGGCGATAAGTTGGAAAAACCTTTGCCAAATTTGTGGCTTTTCCCATTTTTTTATTATTATTATTTTCTTGCCTTTTTTTGACATATTAATCGTAGGCAAGTTTTGTCCCTTCGAACTATGGTGGGATTCACAAGAAGGATTAGCATCAGTAATTGGTGTATTGTTTATCTGCTCCACTGCCTGTACGTGCCTTCCATAATCGGGGGGCTTAAATTAACATTGTTTTTATGATAGATCTTTTGTTGCGGTCCGTCGATTAAACAATAGTTGTGCTTTAATTCATCCCTGTCCTTCGAAACTTCAGCTAATTTATGCTCTAACTGTATTTTCAAGATCGGATATAACTTTGTTCTTGTTTTCTAAAATGTTAGAAAACTCCGTCAGCATGGTTTCTAATCTAAGTTTTGAGTGAAGATTTGAACCTTCGTTGGGAATCACAAGTTTGCTTAACGATTCAACAACAACATTCATACTGTCAACTACCCTGTTGAGGGAGTCTACTTGGTTATGTAGGGAAGCATTTTGTAATTTAACCTTTACAAGTTCTTGAACCTGATTACCGTCACAGCAGTCAAACTTTGTAACACCATCATTACTTCCAGACAAATCAGGATCTTTCACGGGGCACGCCACTGTGTCACTAGCTTGATTCTTCGAATTATATTTATCGGTATTTGACGTGCCTACATTAATATCATGATCATACTTGCCGACTGCATCAGAGCGATTGTTCGTATCTACATTAGTCGGAATAGCAGCTAATGTAGAGAGTTTATTCATAAGTCAATTATCAATTCCTTGAAAGAATTACCGAGTACACCGTGAAATGATAGAGTACGTTTGTTGGTATACCACGTTACAGATATATTTTCATTTCGAAAAGATTTTGCATAGCTACCTCGCGACGACCATTTACCACTTAAGCCAAATAGTTCATATATGAGAGCTTTCAGTTCGTCTAGGTTGCCCAGCCAATGAATTTTCTTGTTGAGATCATAATTTAGAAGCTTTATATGCTTTAATAAAACGGCGGACATTTCTGTTTGCTCGAAAATTTCGTTATGTTTTCCACTGTTTGTTGATGTGTCGTCGGCCATGTTTGTCCCACTTTTCTAATCCGGTGTAAAAATCGCGACGCTCCGATGCAATCCGGTATAGTGTAAATGGCGCCTCGGCATACTAGAAATTATACAGGGTGTCTACACCCTTTGAAATCAAGCCTTTGTTACTCACGAGTGCGTAAAAAAGTATACCTATAGTCTTGTTTAGTACAATTTTATAAATAAGCCTATTCAGGTTAAACACATGTCAAGATTTTCTACTCCTTGAAATTTAAAATACCTATATCTAATCGTATGAATTAAAGAACATAACTGCATAAAAAATTGTCAACTGAATTACTAATTAGTCATATCACTTCTATTCTGGTTAAGCATGTACCCGTGCATGGGTTCAGCACATATATAGCATTTAAATCCCAACAAAGGCTTGATTTCAAAGGGTATAGTCAGTATACAGGGTATCCCAAAAAACCCAAAAGCATCTACCTCCTCTGCAGGCCACACAGCCCGTAATGAGTATGCCCGTTCGCAGGTTGAAACTTGAAATTTGAGACGAAGGCTTGCGCAGCTGTAAGGCCTGCTGAATAACATGTCGATTACTTGGCTTTTGGTGTCGATTACTCGGTTTGGGTCAAATTTCTTCAAAAATATGGCACATCGTCTGCCAATCTTTAACAATCCCGTTTTGCGAGTATTTTTTAAATACATCTTGGCAGTTATTGCTGATAAAAGCGACGAGGAGATTCAAATAATGGAGGGTTTTACAAGCACAAGCGACAGTGATAATAGACGTTTTGAATCTATCATTTGGCCAAATGGGATGTTTTGACTATCTACTCACGCATTTAAATAGTTACACTGTATAAAAGACAAATATAAATGGAATAAATTTCGGGAATAAAGGGCCGCATGCGGCATGCCTGACATACGACATCAAAGTGTGTTACATAAAAGCGCTGCGTGTTTGTAATATGCAAATTATAAACTGATATTTAGGGACCGTTCATTATTTATACCCGGAGTTGGTACCGAAGAGATATGGGTTGGGTAATCAAGTTTTTGACTAGCTCATGTGTTGGGTAAAAAAATTTATGGCTGCTTGTCAGCTATAAAATAAAATAAAAATTACCATGCATTGGAAAATATGACGAAAACTGTGTACAATACATTCTGTACCAAAATAGACCATCAGTGATTGAGAAAGGACTCCTTCATTGATCAGCAGGAACGTGATTGCTTTGACGTATCGTGTAAGTGAGTGAGCTTTTAGAATTTAGGCAACTTGATTTCTGTCACCATAATCTTGTGTGTTTAATTATTATGGGGTACAGTAACACATGGGTTGGGTAAACATCATTTTCACCATTGTTGAGGTTGGGTAAATAAAAAAATTACAGTGTTTTTCGCTTCTCTTCGGTACCAACCCCAGGTATAAATAATGAACGCTCCCTTATCTGCTTCTCTTTATAAATCATTATATATGCTTGTTTGTTTGTTCAGTGTTCACTGTTCCTATGTATATTTCAGCCCGAAAAGCGGTCTACATTGTTCTGGTAAAATGATATATTAAATGTAATTTGGTTTTTTGCTCCAGCCAACTTCTTTATCGCCTTTTACGTATCTTTGCATTCAAATTCAAAGGGCATTCAAATTCAAACAATGCATTAATCAATGCTTTTGGGATTTTTTGAGACACCCTGTACAGGGTGTATAAAAAAACCTGCAAACCTTTTGAAATGCAATGTTTTTAGAATTTACATAATTCAGAAGTAATTGATCCCAAGCATGCGTAATGGTCGCAGTCGAACTGATCATTAGTTTTCTGCATTACAAATAACTTTGTGTTATTCTAATTTGCATCAACGCGGTTAATTAGAATGTATTTTCAAATCCCAGGTGCAAAATAAGTAGCACAGACATTGAAATGCTAGTAAGCCGTAGCCTGCGAACAGGCTCTCAAGCTGAATTGAGAGCCTGCATCGATGACTAATGAATTTGAATATCTGCGTCTCAAACCGTGACGCGAAATTCTCATCGGTCAGATGCTATAATTTATATGTTTCCGCTGAGCTCTATATATGTCAACTGCTGAAGCACTATGCATAAAAAACACATTATCTGATCAAATTGGTCTTGGCCATCGTATCTCAAAGCACGAAATGTTCTGTTTTGAGAAAACAGTATTTAAAACATTTGAACTTTTGCTTGAATATCTTATATTTCGAAAAACAGTATAAACTGTACGGTCTAAATTTAGTTTGCACGGTCTAAATTTAGTTTGCACGAAAGTTGTAAACAACACCATATAAGGACAGACATTCCATATTTGGAAAAACGAACGTTACGGGGCAAATATTCAAATTCATTAGCTATCGATGCAGGCTCTCAATTCAGCTTGAGAGCCTGTTCGCAGGCTACGTAAGCCGCAGAATTATGTGCAAATTATAGTGTTTGTAGGTTTTTTGATACACCCTAGTTGTGGGACACGCTCTACAGGGTGTCCCAAAAAAAACACGGAAACTATTGAAATAAATGTATTGTTAGAATTTGAATGCCTCAACACTCTGCTCAACCCACACGTGCATCAAAGCTTGACGTAAGTAAATTTTATGCATAACTAGAAATTTTTAAATTCCCAAGAGCAGAAAATCGTGTGCTTCACAAAGATATTTTAATTTCTTAATAAGTCAATTTTAATATATGAACCCTTGGTAATACTTTACGCATCTTTGCGTTCAGCTTAGTGCTAGGGCTGGGCATTCAAATTTTAACAATACGTTATTTCAATGGTTTTGCGGGTTTTTTGGGACACCCTGTATAATTACTTCGAACAAGTTATCGAGTTGTAAAACAAAAGACTTTCTACTTATGGGACATGTTATGCCGGTTTTCCACTTGCGAATTTTTTCGCGCGAAGCGAATTTTTCATTTGTCGTTGGTCTCTCAACTGGAACCATCTGGAACTATTTGGATAAAGAGAAAAGAAAAATTCGCTTCGCGCGAAAAAATTCGCAAGTAGAAAACCGGCTTAAGAACAACTCAATGAAATACTCCATACAGTACAGGACATGTCGCAATACTGTACAGGGTGTCCCAAAAAAACCCAGCAAATCCATTGAAATAACGCATTGTTAAAATTTGAATGCCCTAGCACTAAGCTGAACGCAAAGATGCGTAAAATATTGACAAGCGTGCATATATTAAATATTGACTTGTTAAGAAATTAAAATATCTTTGAAAAGCGCACGATTTTCTGCTCTTGGGAATTTAAAACAGCTTCTTAAACGGTTTCTTTACGCCTAAAATTTACTTACGTCAATCGTTAATGCCGTGTTGGTTCAGCAGAGTGCTGAGGCATTCAAATTCTAACAATGCCTTATTTTAGTAAGTTTTCGGGGTTCTTGAGACACCCTGTATAATTTCTAGTATGCTGAGAAAGCTGATAGAGTGCAAGAACGACCCCAACTAAGTCTATAGCATCATTCAAAACATTGCTACGCAATTAGCACTATAAAGATCTAACGGACAGTGTTTTCAACCCCAATGACCCGAGAACTCTTAAGTCAGTTTGTGTGAAATGTCACACAAGTCGTCCTTATGGAATTTATTATCTAGATCATGTTGTTAGGTCAATCGAACCTTATATAGTGCATGGTCCCTTATTGCGTGTGCCGAATGCAATCACTATAATGCTTAAGAATATTACTTAATCTTATGGTTCAACTCCACGTCTGCATGAGTATAGCATTCTCCAGGTTGTGGACGGTGTGCGTGATAGGGTAGGCAGTCATTAAAATGTTATTATAACTTGCTCGATACATAAACAATCTTAACAGCTTCAAAGTACACAATAATAGCTATATTGTCCACTTAAAAAAATGTGTATACAAAGCCATAAGCATGTATTGTACTTCGCTATCCGAATAATAAGTTGAAAAACTTATATAGTTATACCCAGTCCAGTTTTATTTCTAAATAGATGGTACCAAGCATGATGGTATGCACCAAATTGCATGAAATGCGGCTGAAAATTATATCTCATCTTCTCACTCGCCAGCCGTTCTCCGTTTTGATTTGTCTTTGATTCGTTTAACAGCTATATCCCTGAGATTGAAAGGTCCATTAAGTGCAAGCGGCACTGGTCGTGTGGAAATATTCTACGGTGGGAAATGGGGAACAATCTGTCATGATTATTGGAATGCAGCTGATGCCAGGGTTGTATGTCGTCAACTTGGTTATACATATGCTCTTAAAGCTCTTCAAGGAGACGACGTTTTTGATGGTACTGGACAAATATGGTTAGATAATGTCAGATGTACTGGGAGTGAACTAAATCTAACCAGTTGTTCTCATAGCGGATGGGGAAATGAAAATTGCGAGCACGATAAGGATGCAGGAGTAGAATGTTCTTCAGCAGGTAATTCACTATATTGTTTCAGTTTAACCGCTCGTATGAAATTGCCCCACACATCAGTCACATAAATACTGGTACAACAAAATTCACCATTATGAAAAAGATTACGCCGTAAGTTATATGACAGTTTTGTGGACAATTTTCGGATATTCCGTGATGTTATTTAGATAAAAAAATAAGTTACGTTTTCATAAAATGTCTGTGCTTTAATTAAAGCAGGAGGAGGGTGTGCAGGAGGAGGGTGTGCAGGCAAGGGATTGAGATTTGAGGTCAATATGCATGGGTGGTAAGAAGAATAATGATCAAATTGCAAATGTTATTGGAGTTAAATGATGGAGAAATATTGTAGGTTCGAAGTGTTGTGGGTTTAGCTGTTCAAAATGAACTAAATAATTCCTTTAATTTTGAAACATATGTATCAAATCCATGATTGGCCCATGAGCCTTGTTCTCATGAACTTTGATTCATGAGATTGAATACTTCCAGGCCAAGGAAGTATTTGCAACAAAATTATTAAACAGGTGCATTGGGAGATGAGGCCTGAAGGGGTAATAGTGAAAGGAGTAAGTGTTGAGGAATCATTGAATACATTTCATTAGTAAGTAGTCAGGACAATAAGCAACTTCGGCATAGCAATTACATTCTGCAACTTTAATTTGACCAGTATTAGTATTCACAATAAGTATTCGGGGAATATTTCTCGTGTCTTGTGCAAATCACGTCACCACCTTTCAATTTTGTTGTTCGTTGAAGGACCATTTACTATAGCTTTAATTAACTGCATCTTCCATAACTACATACTTGTCGTTTACAAGGTAGACGTGTACAGTTGGCATTGGCCTTGTCAATTCTAAGATATCCTGGCTTGAGCTGGAAAATGCCCGACAGCGCCAGCAGCACCTCTGCCAGGAAATTTTTAACAAAATATCTTCGCATGCAGGAATTGTTTCTATCTTGTAGGATATTTTTGTCATCTTATATACTGGAATGTCATATAATTTACTTATTGTTTAAAAATTCCAATCGCATTTTGCTGGTTGAGATTGTCTTGTGCCGATATTGAAGCTAACCATGCACAATGTGCGGCACAATACATTCTCTGAAATTACTGTTTTTTTATTTGGCTTACACAGGAAATTTTTATTTTTCGATTTTGCTGCCAGGAAGAGTCTAGGTCTGATCATGGCATATGCAATTTGTTTTTTATACAAGTACCCGAGATACTATACTTTTTCAACTATGCGTGTGTAAGAGTTTGAATAACAAACAAATGAAATAGGATTTTCCTTGAAAACGTTCCAAACAATCGTAAATGCATGTGAGAAACGTCGAATTTTGATATCCAAAGAACTTTGCGGGTCCGTGAGGCGATACAACCCATAAAGGACCATTCAAAGAAAATGCGACTTGCTCTTGAAACGTCTCGCTTCCTAATCGTCAGGACCTAACTTGGCAAAAACATTGTGGATCAAATGCCTGGGAACTTTAATTAACATTATGCATGGTTCTTTTGGGTAAACGCTCTGTAATCCAGAAGTTTTCCTGGGCCATAAGTTCTTGAGTATAACAGCTTCACAAACATCCTCTACCGTTGTGGTATAATTAATTTACCTTTTTTTTCGTAATTTTGAAGTTTCCTGTCAAGTGTAGCAACGCTTCACGCGTATTCTGGAAAATCGCTTTCAACGAAATCTAACATATTGATCGACATCTTTTTTTTTGCTTTTCATCATCTTTCCAGTTGGTATTCGCCATTACGAACAGTGCTTCCACAACTGCCTTTTTTAAAGAAAATTTCCTTCCCAATATTGCTAAATTACCTTGCTAAAAACACAAAATAACTACGTCACGCTTTTGCTGGTATCGTATAGGGATACAGACAAACGTTCTCAGTATATATTTATACTCTCGTCAGTTTCTCAACAGTTGCCGATATAAATTGTCTAAATATAGGCTAGTAAAGTAATTGATAAGCATCTACTTTTTCATAAAAATATACAACAATTTTAAAATACCCTTGCATGCTTCATCCATCTTGAACACTGTTTTCCCTTCCCATTTCCTTATGAGTTTTATTTTCATTAATTTCTTTGCATTTGTCCTTGTAATTTTCAGGAAAAACTGCCTGCGCAACGGTCCTTCCACTTTCCGATTTAAATTTCTATTTCTGGTTGTAATTTCATATGCTTTACCTCATTTGAATAGGTAATCATCGCATGATTACTTGTTTATTATTAGCATGACAAAATTGGATACTTCTCAATGTCAACATCATATTTTCTCGCCAAAGCCCAGTCCTGCAAGACTTTCAATCAACATTTGGTACTTTTTTCGTACTTTTAATTAGAGTAAAATTTAGTTATTTTGCAAATGCAAAATTTGATGCTGTTGTTCCTATTTTCATCTAGTTCCTCTAGGGCAATTTCATTTCACATTCGTTTAAAATAGCTTCCGCCATTTTGTTTGTTTTCGGAAAATCATTAATTGTACTGCTGTACAATTAATGAAATAATTGTACTCCTCTCAACCAATCAGCATCCAGTAATTTTGTCATGCTAATAATAATAATAGAAACAATTTATTAGCAACATTTAGGTATTATATATATATATATATATATATATATATATATATATATATATATATATATATATATATATATATATATATATATATATATATATATATGCAGTTAAATTTACATTAGATTAGAATTAAAAACGATTTTAAAGTAAGATTTAATATTTAAAATTTAATTACAATGCAAAATAATTCAATTAACTTTTGCAAAAAATACATGATAACGCTGGACCATCATATTGCAGTTAAAACGTAGCTGAAGCTACCACAATTCTCTAGGGTATCGTTAACCTCCCAAAATGCAGTTAAAAATGGCGCTTTGACGAGTGATCAACATTTCTCAGTAAGACAATAATGAAATGCAACG